TTCTATACACCAACAGTGAAACTACAGAAACAGAGACTAAAAAAGCAATCCCATTTACCATCGCACCAAAAAAATTAAGATACCTAGGAATAAATTTAACTAAGGAAGTAAAGGACCTATACGCGGAAAACTACACGACACTGAAAAAAGAGATAGAGGAAGATGTAAGGAGATGGAAGAACATACCATGTTCATGGATTGGTAGAATCAACATCATCAAAATGTCCATACTTCCTAAAGCAATCTATAGGTTCAATGCACTCCCCATTAAAATACCAACGACATATTTCACTGACCTAGAAAGAACTCTCCAAAAGTTCATTTGGAACAATAAAAGACCCCTAATAGCCACAGCAATCCTGAGAAAGAAGAGTAAAGTAGGAAGGATCTCAATACCAGACTTCAAACTATATTACAAAGCCGCTGTTCTCAAAACAGCCTGGTACTGGCACAAGAACAGACATATAGATCAATGGAATAGAATCGAGAACCCAGATATCAACCCAAATCAATATGCTCAATTAATATTTGACAAAGGAGGCACGAATACACAATGGAGTCAAGACAGTCTCTTGACAGTCTCTTCAATAAATGGTGTTGGGAAAATTGGACAGACACATGCAAAAGAATGAAACTAGATCACCCACTTACACCATTCACAAAAATAAACTCAAAATGGATACAGGACTTAAACATCAGACGGGAAACCATAAAAATACTAGAAGCATCCACGGGCAGCAAAATCTCAGACGTATGCCAAAAGAACTTCTTCACTGATACTGCCCCTAAGGCAATGGAAGCTAAAGAGAAAATAAACAAATGGGACTACATCAAAATAAAAAGCTTTCTTACAGCAAAAGAAACCATCAACAAAACAACAAGAAAGCCCACGGTGTGGGAGAACATATTTGCAAATAATACCACTGATAAAGGTTTAATCTCCAACATTTACAGACAGCTTATACAACTAAATAAAAGGAAGATGTATGATCCAATTAAAAAATGGGATATTTTCAAAAGAAGACAGAAGGAAGGCCAAGAGGCATATGAAAACATGCTCAAAGTCACTAATTGTCCGAGAGGTGCAAATGAAAACAACAATGCGGTACCATCTCACTCCTGTCAGAATGGCCAACATCAACAAATCAACAAAAGACAAGTGTTGGCGAGGTTGCGGAGAAAAAGGAACCCTCATGCACTGCTGGTGGGAATGCAGATTGGTACAACCACTGTGGAGAACAGTGTGGAGTTTCCTCAAAAAAACTGAAAATGGAACTCCCATTTGACCCAGTAATCCCACTCCTAGGAATATATCCCAAGAAACTAGAAACACCAGTCAGAAAGGATATATGCACCCCTATGTTCATAGCAGCACAATCTACAATGGCCAGAATTTGGAAACAGCATAGGTGCCTGTCAGCAGATGATTGGATCCAAAAACCATGGTACATTTACACAACGGAATACTATGCCGCCATAAAAAAGAAGGAATTCTCATCATTTGCAGCAACCTGGATGGAATTGGAGAACATCATGCTGAGTGAAATAAGCCAGTCAATGAAAGAAAAACACCACATGACCTCACTCATTTGTGGATGATAAAGAACATTATAAACTGATGAACCAAGAGACAGATTTAGAGACAGTAAAGCAACAGGCAGACTGTCAAATTACAGTGGGGAGGAGAGGAAGATCTGGGGGAGATAATAGATCAACAGAAGGACTTGTGTACATGCATATAAGTACAACCAATGGACATAAAACTCTGGGGAGGGAGGGTATGTATGTGAGGGAGAGAGGGGGGCAAAAAAAAATCAATAAAATATATTAAAACAAACAAACAAACAAACAAAAAAGAAACAATTTTGTTGAAAGAGAAAACAACTTGAGTTATTTCATTAGGGACGAAGGGAACTCCTCTCCAACAGGGTGGAGCGCAGTTAATCACACCCATAACCGTGGAGATCCAGCGGCTCTTCCTGCAGTCGGACCGGGCTGTGGACTGCTTCCCGAAAACAATACTTCCTTGAAAGCTGGGTTGAGTTTTAGAATTTATAAAACACTAATTTTCCTCAAGGGTCTTAAAATATGTATACTTTTGCCGAAACTGGTTTGGCTCAGTGGATAGAGCGTTGGCTTGCAGACTGAAGGGTCCCAGGTTCGATTCCGGTCAAGGGCATGTACCTTGGTTGTGGGCACATCCCCAGTAGGGGGTGTGCAAGAGGCAGCTGATAGATGATTCTCTCTCATTGATGTTTCTAACTCTCTCTCTCCCTCTCTGTAAAAAATCAATAAAATATATTAAAATATATATATATACTTTTACTAATTTCAGAGAGGAAGGTAGCTGGAGAGAGAATCATCAATGATGAGAGAGCATCCTGGATCAGCTGCCTCCTGCACGCCTCACCCTGGGGGTCGAGCCCAAAACCCAGGCCTGTGCCCTGACCTCCTGGTTCATAGGTGGATGCTCAACCACGGAGCCATGCCAGACGGGCGGACTTTGATATCTTAAAAGTCCTTTGTCAGAGTAATTTATGGCTTTGAGTCTTTGCACAGGGCTCCTGGCCTCCCCTGCTCCCACCAAGCCTCCATGCCACTGAAGAGCAAGCGTTCTGAGAGGGGCCTGTGTCCGCCAGGCCCATCAGCTCCGGCACACACACACACACACACACACACACACACACACACACACACACACACACGCACACACATGCCCTGGAGGCCGGGAAGGCGCAGCTGCCGGACGCCCGTCCCAAGCCGCTGAGCAGGTGCAGGGGCTGCGGTCCAGCCCAAGGGAAGGCCGCACACGCCCAGGTGCTGCCCGAGAGGATGTGCCGCAGCCGCGTGGGCCTCTGTCATTTGGAGAAGACCGTGTCCGATCTCACAAAAGGGCTCCCGGCCCCTCTGCTGGGGGGAGGGGGTCTGCGCAGCGAGAGGAGGCGGATGCCGGCTCAGTCCCCCTTCAGGCGGCAGAACAGTAACTGGGCCAGGGACAGGGGCCCAGGCTCCTGTGCTTCTCCAGCCCTGGGAGCAGAACTCGGCTGTGCTCTGAGAGAGACGGGCCCATGCGACATTTCCAGTAACAGCGCCGCCTACAGCTCACCGGGGCGGGGGCGGGGGCGGGGGCACTCATCAAACCCGGAGCTGCTTTACCTTTAAAAGCATGAGTACGAAGGCATTTTCTCCCATTCATCTGAATCAGTGCAGTTACTCAGCAAGTGAAACCCAGTGGACTTCGTTGCTTCTTGTTTTTGAAGTTCACTTCCAAAAGCAAACGTAGCCCGGCTGCAGACTTGGTTATTTTATTTTATTTAATGAATTAATTAATTTAAAAATGTATTTTATTGATTTTTCACAGAGTGGAAGGGGGAGGGATAGAGAGCTAGAAACATCGATGGGAGAGAAACATCGATCAGCCGCCTCCCGCACGCCTCCTACTGGGGATGTGCCCGCAACCAAGGTCCATGCCCTTCACCGGAATCGAACCTGGGACCCTTCAGTCCTCAGGTCAACTCTATCCACTGAGCCAAACTGGTTCAGGCAAGATCCGGTTATTTTAAAAACGCCTTTTTGTGTAATAGGATGCCATTGGCTCCGGCTTCGAGACTCACAGGCTTTGCAGCGAGCTCACGTCTGTACGCAATTCATTGGAGACGCGATTCCTGCGCGCCGCGCCGCGCCCGCGCCCGCGCCCGCAGAGCCCCGGGACGGCTGGGGAGCTGCAGGGTTCCCAGCCTGCCCGGGGCGGGCGGTAAGTCGGCGTCCATCGCTGGCCCCTCGGGCCTCTCCCGTGGATTCTGTGTCCCCGCGTGGTCTCCGGGCCTGCTCTCCCGTCACGGCCTCCGCGCCCTCCTTTCAGCGCCTGCGGGTCCCCGCGGCCGCCAAGGCCTCTGCGGCCACACAGCGAGCTCGCCCCTGCGCTGGACGTTTCCCTGGGAAGGCGCTGCGGCCGCAGGGCGGGCCGTGCCGGACAGACGGGGCGCCGGGACCGCCCTGACGGTGCGGGAGCCCTGCAAAGCCTCGCTGGGCTGGACGGATTAGCCTCACTCCCCGGAGGGGCTGCAGCCTGTGCAGCTGCACAGCGCGCTCTCTGCTCCCCTCGGCTCTGCCGCCACGAATTTCCTTTCCTCTGCCTCTGACATCCCCCCTTCACACCTCGCCTTTTAAAGACATACTTTTATTGACTTCAGAGAGGAAGGGAAGGGGAGGAGGGAGAGAAACATCCATGATGAGAGAAAATCATGGACCGGCTGCCTCCTGCACGCCCCACACTGGGGGTGGAGCCCACAACCCAGGTGCCCTGACAGGAACTGAACTGTGACCTCCTGGTTCATAGGTCAACACTCAACCACTGAGCCACGCCAGTGGTTTTTGTTTGTTTGTTTGTTTGTTTGTTCACTATGAATTGATTTTCAATTATAAGTATTTTTCTGTATCATTTGATATTATAACTTCCCCCTTTATTTTGTTAATAAGATGACTTTTTCCCCATTTCTTTTTTTAAAACTTTATTTTATTTTATTGATTTTTTTTTTTTTTACAGAGAGGAAGGGAGAGGGATAGAGAGTTAGAAGCATCCATGAGAGAGAAACAGCGATCAGCTGCCTCCTGTACACCTCCTGCTGGGGATGTGCACACAACCAAGGTACATGCCCTTGACAGGAATCGAACCTGGGACCCTTGAGTCCACAGGCTGATGCTCTATCCACTGAGCCAAAATGGTTAGGGCCTATTTCTTTAACAAACATGTTAGTCTGGGTTCTTAAGAAGCAAATACCAAGAAGGGGGCAGACGTACAGACATTCACTGGGGAAAGTGGAAGAGGGAGAGAGACCCCAGGTCTGGCCCGGGTCCAAGTGTGAGCCTGAAATGGACTCATCAATTCCTCTTGCAATCCTTGGCCAGGGACCCCCCCCCCCGCCCCAGGCTGTGCTGACCCTGCGCACCTGAGGGGGCCGCCCCCGGGGGTGACTTGGGGCTGCTGCATCCCAGAAAGTCTACAGGCTGTTCGGTGTCTCAGTCGGCGGTCTTGTCAGAGAGAGACGCCTGCAGATGTCATTGCACTGTGCGTGCTGGTGGTCGAAGAAGTAAGAGATGCCCCTTTCCCCGAAGTTGGTGGTGACCTCTCTGCGGCCCAGCGAGTGGATCTGGGGGTCCGTCAGGTAGAGCAGCCCCTTCCCGTCGCCAGTCACCCAGCCTGCGGAGAAGCACGGGTCTGAGGACCAGGCCTCTGGGGCGTCCGCAACACGTCCCAGGAAGAGTTACATGCTTAGCAAAACACAGAAAGCCCCGCCGTGCCGGAGCCGGTTGGCTCAGTGGATAGAGCGTCGGTCTGCGGACTGGAAGGTCCCGGGTTCGATTCCGGTCAAGGGCAAGTACCTTGGTTTCGGGCATTTCCCCAATAGTGGGTGATCGATGACTCTCTCTCATCGATGTTTCTAACTCTCTATCCCTCTCTCTTCCTCTCTGGAAAAAAATCAACGAAATATATGAAAGAAAGAAAGAAAGAAAGAAAGAAAGAAAGAAAGAAAGAAAGAAAGAAAGAAAGAAAGAAAGGAAGGAAGGAAGGAAGGAAGGAAGGAAGGAAGGAAGGAAGGAAGGAAGGAAGGAAGGAAGGAAGGAAGGAAGGAAGGAAGAAAGAAAGAAAGAAAGAAAGAAAGAAAGAAAGAAAGAAAGAAAGAAAGAAAGAAAGAAAGAAAGAAAGCCCCGCTGTCCTGGGCTCCACATGTGACAGAGTCCTGCTGAGAGCGGGGAGAGGCACGAGAAGGTGGCTTGAAGGAGAACGGAATGTTGGGTAATGAGATCTGTCTCCTGTTGCACACCAGAAGAGAGGTGCCCCAGGCCCCGGAGAGAATAAAATGCAGCTGCATCACGATGGAAGCACGATGGATGGACTCTCTGGTGCCTCCGTCATTCGTGCACATCTTCATGTGTGTGATAACAGTCAGCTGCAGACCCTGACAGCACAGCGCTAGGCCGGGCCTGTGGGGACAGGCTTGTTGCCACCAGAGTGCTCATGGGGCTAACACTGCAGATGGACAGGAGCTAAGCGACCCGAGGGAGAATAACATGAGGGACAGAGCGTGAGGACAGGCACTGTGGGAGACAGAGCGGACCGGGGTGGTCATAGAAGTAGTGATAATAAATCTCATGTATTAATAGCAGTAAAACAAACCAGAGCCTGAGCTGGTGTGCCCAGGGGATAGAGCGTCAGCCTGGGTTCGATTCCCAATCAGGGGCACATACCCGGGTTTCGGGCTCAATCCTCATCAGGAAGCAGCTGATCAATGATTCTTTCTCATCATTGATGGTTCTATCTCTCTCTCCATCTCCCTGCCTCTCTGAAATCAATAAATTTTTTTTTTTTTTAAGTGCAGAGGATTGGCTAATAAATTCTGATAAATAACATCCTGGATGAACAGAAACAGAATTTAGACGTGAATGCCGAGAACGTAAAGGGAGTCAGACTGAAGCACATGCAGCTCTGTGCCCTGAGGCCACACAGGTCCGGGCTCCCACCCCACCCCAGGGTGCCTGCAGCCACGCACCGAGCTGGAGGCGGAGGCGGAGGGAGGAAAGGGAGAGTTTTCACTCGGAAACCTAGAAAGTGGGCGTGTGTGGCAGGGGACAGCCTCACAGAAGGAGCCCCATTTCTTCACGGAGGAGTCGACATCTCACTTTGCTCCCTAGAGTCAAATCCATCAATTAATTAAAATTGTTTAAAGCCAAGTCACGTTTCATCTGTGTGTGTTCTTTTAAATTGGAGATGCACATTTGTTTATTTATTTTAAACAGTTTTTTAAAAATTGATTTCAGAGAGAAAGAGAGAGAGAGAGAGAGAGAGAGAGAGAGAGAGAGAAATCAATGATGAGAGAGAATCATGAATCAGCTGCCTTCTGCATGCCCCACACTGGGGATCGAGTCTGCAACCCAGGCCTGTGACCTTGACTGGAATCGAACCTGGGAGCCTTCTGTCCACAGGCCAACACTCTAGCCACTGAGCTACACTAGCCAGGGCTCAAATCAATTGATTTAATTCCAAGCAGGCTACGCACAATCTGTGGAAGAGAGCTGGGCACAGGCAGTTGCAAAGCCTCCCACGTACACGCGAGGAGCACGCAGAGGGAGAGGACGCTCCTGCGCACGCACCTTGTAAGTCTACGACGACATCCTGGCGGTTGGAAAACTCGTAGGAGAAGTGGCCGAAAGCCAAGCCGAATTCGGTGGCTTTGTACTCTGTCTTCACCACTTTTGTGTTATTGGATAATTTTACAAACTCCCCCAGAATGTAAGGCTCCACACTGACACACCCTTTTATCATCTCGTCCTCTAAAATCTGAAAAACAGAAGGGGAGGCCGTGTGGCCTACGGCGAGGGCACCCGGCTTCGCCGCTCAGGACGTGGGCGACCGGACCTGGCTCCCTCATTTGCATGTGAAGTGCGTCACATGGACGGAACACCATAGAACCCAGTGACTCTTCTTTCACCGAAATGCTCATGTCAAACGTGGGCATGATGTTTCTTTTATTTTATTTTAAAAAAATATATCTTTAATAATTTCAGAGAGGAAGGTAGAGGGGGAGAGAGAGAGAAACATCAATGATGAGAGAGACTCATGGATAAGCTGCCTCCTGCACGTCCCTTCCTGGGGAGCAAGCCAGAAACCTGTGCAGGCCAACCTCTACCCACTGAGCCACACCAGCCAGGCTCATCATTGATGTGTCTCTCTCTCCCTCTCCCTTCTTCTCTGAAATCGATAAGAACGTATTAAAGAAGGAAACCTGGCCTGACAGGTGTCTCTGGGCCGCCCCAGCCCTGGCTCCTCTCACCAGCAACGCCGCGGAGGGCACGTAGAAGAGCTGGGTGGGGATCTGCTGCTCAAAGAGCCGCTTGTTGAACTCCGTCACGTAGTGCTGGGCGGTCCCCTGGCGCTCCACGTCGGAGAAGTGCAGCCACAGCGCCTTCGGCTCCTTATACGCCTTCCCAACGTACCTGCCGGTAGACAGAAGCCCCGGTGGCCCCCGAGGCGGCGGCCTCCGCATCCGGCTCCACGCGGGGCCTCTGGAGCTGTCCGCTGCCCCGCCCCGCCTCACCGCTGCCCGCCCCGCCCTCCGGGCAGGTGTCCAGGGTTCAGGCTCAGGTCCGCACCGGGGCTGCCTCATCTCCCGCCGAAGATGGTTGTCCTGCCTTTTTTCCAGGCTCATTTGTTTACTCAAAGTGTGGCTTTCAGAGTTGAACTAGACTTTTACCAGCATTTATTCTTTCTAAATCCTCACTCAAGGATGTTTTAAAAAGTTGATATTTTTATTGATTTCAGAGAGGAAGGGAGAGGGAGAGAGATAGAAACATTGGTTATGAGAGAGAATCACTGACCAGCTGCCTCCTGCATCCCACCCACCCCCTAACTGGGGATCAAGCCTGTAACCTGGGCCAGTGCCCTGACCTCCTAGGTCATAGTCGATGCTCAACCACTGAGCCACACCAGCTGGATCATCAGCCCTTTCCCATGAATGATGTCAGTCAGTACCTTCCCAGCGCTTCTTCTTGGTGGAGATAATGAACCCAAAAGGCGTTTCTCTGTCTGCCCATCTTCGTCACCTTCAGGTAGTCCCCCAGGTACACAGCAGTCTCCTGGGCCGTCCACAGTTCCGATTTCTTGGAATATTTCAACAAAAGAGCATCTGGGAAAAACAGCAGTGAAAACGGATCTGGGCTCCTCCCTATGCCAGGTCGGCACAGTCACGAGTACAGCTGACATGGCTCAGGGCCTAGTTCAGCTGCTCTGAAATCCTCAGCTTCCGTATACGTCTCTCAAAGGTTAGCCTCCTCCATGGAGACTAATAAAAGTTAGTGAAGTACAATAAATAAGCAGAGCTTCACAAATAAGACAAAGACTAGCCTTTGATTCACAGAATCTTGTTTGTGGCGGCAACATGAAGATAAGGCTAAGGTTTCAGGATGAAAGGAGAGGAGAATAAAGGGCTATTTATTTATTTTTTAAAACTATATTTTTATTGATTTCAGAGAGGAAGGAAGAGGGAGAGAGAAACATAAATGAAGTGAGAGAATCACTGATCAGCTACCACCTGCATGCCCTCTACTAGGGGCTGATCCAGAAACTCGGGCCTGTGCCCTGACTGGGAATCGAACCATGACCTCCTGGTTCATAGGTCGACCCTCAACCACTGAGCCACACCGGCTGGGCTAACCAGGGACACTTCAGAGACATCCTGGAGCATGTGCTATGGGCTTATCTTCTTTGGATGACATGTGCCAGGTGCTGTGGACCGAAATACATAATGCTTTACCTCAGCGGTCCCTGCATTCCCAGGATCAGAGATTACATGTTGAAGCACACCCTCAGCTTCTCTTCCTTGTCTTGTTTAATTTGGAAAAGCTCAGCAATTACTAGAGAAAATATAGCTACTGTACAAAGATATGAACTCACCTGGAAAAGGAAAAGATATGAAGAAATAAGGACTGTCTTCACCTTAAAGAATAAAGAACAGCCTGTCCAACCTGGCTCAGTGGTTGAGTGTCAACCTATGAACCAGGAGGTCATGGTTCAATTCCCAGTCAGGGCCTGGGTTTTGGGCTCCATCCCCATTCTCTCTCATCATTGATGTTTCTATCTCTTTCTCCCTCTCTCTTCCTCTCTGAAATCAATAAATTCTATCTAATAAAGAGGGAATACGCTAATTGATCCTCACATTATCACAAAGATGGTGGTGCCCACAGCCAATAAGGAGGGAATATGCTAACTGACTGCCCCACCCTCAAAGATGGTGGCACCCACAGACACAAGATGGCAGCTCCCAGTCCCCTCAGCCCTGCCAGGGCCCCTGCCTCCAGAGTCCCCCAGTCCCCTCACCCCCCTAGCCACCCAGGGCCACCCAAGGCTCAGGTAACCAGGGCTGGCCAAAGCTTGAGCTGCTGGCAGTGGCACCAGCAGAGGTGTGATGGGGCATTGCCTTCTCTGATCACCATGCACTCAACTCCAGGGCCATGCACTCAACTCCAGGGCCATGTACCCACCTTCTGGGGCCATGTACCCCCCTCCTGGGGCCATGTAACCCCTTCTGGGGCCATGTACCCACCTCCGGGCCATGTACCCCCCTCCTGGGCCATGTACCCCCCTCCTGGGCCATGTACCCTTCTCCTGGGGCCATGTACCCACCTCCGGGCCATGTACCCCCCTCCTGGGCCATGTACCCCCCTCCTGGGGCCATGTACCCCCTCCGGGCCATGCACCTGCCACAGGCTGTGTACTTACCATACGCCTGGTGCAGCTGGCTGGGCCTAAACACCCCGGTGCCCTCCAGCCTCTGGAGCAGCCAGTCATGTGTCACGCCTGCCAGGAGCTGTTCCAGGTCACGGGGCTGCAGTGTGCGAGCCTCGAGCATCTCTTGCCGCGTCTCTCCCGCCAAAGACGTGAAGGAACTCCCGCTGGCGTTCAGGAAGGACCAGGGCTTGCTCCGCTCGGAGGACCCGCTGGACACCGTGGGCGGCCTCCACCAGCTGCCCCAGGAGGAGCCGGAGCTCCCGCTGCCGCTGAGGCTGGGCACGTGGGCGGGCTCGTCCCCCTCCTCTGTGGTGGTGCAGGCCTCTTGGCTCCTGGAGGCAGGGGGCGGCCTCGCAGTGCACGGCCCGGGGCAGCCACGCGGCCCGGTGGGGTCCAGCAGCTGTCCCCCCTCGTCCACAGTGGAGGCATCAGGGTCCACCTGCTGCTCTTGGACGGGGCCCCCGCTGGGTGCTGATTCCAGATGTTGAGCAGGCCACGGAGACATGGCAGCGTGACGTGCCATTGCGGCGCTTGCACCCAGAGAATCGCCCAGGACTCTGTGGGATTCCACGGCCTCTTCCGGGGGTCCCCGGGAGGGCCCCCCTTTACACGCAGGGCCGGCTACTCGCGTGCGTCCCGCTCCCAGCTCCTCTCCAGCCCCGTGTGCGGCACCGCCACCGGCTGCCGGGCACTCATCCAGGATCTCAAAGGTTTCTTCTTCTTGGAGTGAAGGCTGTGTGGCCACACTCTGGGGCCAACGGGAACCAGAAGACCCGAACGCAGACCCCAGTGAGGGCCTGGCCTGAGCGGAGGCTCCTCCGGGGCCTGGGGCTGTGCCTGCCTGCCTCGCCTCTGGGCCTCCCTCTGCCAGCCCCGCCCCGGAGGGCACGTGAGCGCCCGCGGTGCTCCCAGGAGGGCAGGTGGCCGAGGACTCGGAAGGGCCATCCTCGGGCTCCGGGAAAGAGAGACCTCGAAGCTCCGAAGTCAGAGCACACAGAGCCGCGCTGTTCCCAGGGCTGCCCGGCCCGCCCGCCTTGGCAGCAGGCCCCCGAGTGTCCACGGGGCATCCCCGGCCGGGGGACCTGCTGTCCAAGTGGGTGTCCACCTCCTCCCAGCTGGAGGAGAAGCTGCGTCCCGACAGCCTACTCCAGGGGCTGGAGCTCCGGCTGCCGCTCGGAGCCGTGTCCCCGCTGCTGTGGCCTTGTGACCCAGCCTCAGTCTCCACGTCTGGGTCCGGGTGGATCCAGTCCCTCCTCCCCGCCCGCGGGGGCGCCTCCAGACCCCTCTCAGCGGCCCGGGAGGGAGACAGCCCCCCGCCCGGGGGACGCCCCGGCCCCACCTCAGCACTGGCGGTGTCCGGGCCCCTGGTGTCTGTTTTCAGTGCCGTGATGCAGACGCCTGTGTCCGGATCCTTCTGTTCATTTCTCTTGTTTCCACAGAAGCTTTCAAACGCCCCACACACCGAGGCGTGGTGCTGCGCGTGGGCCTGGAGGGCCGTCCGGAAGGCCACGTGGCCCCGCAGGAGGGGCCTGTCCAGCCCTCGCATGAAGGCCGCAGGGACGTACGCCCCGGCTTCCCGACTCGGGCAGCTGCGAACCGGCAGCAGGTCCTTCACCTGCGCGACGCCACGCAGGACCTCCCGGGAGAGCGGCGCCGGGTCCGGGGCCGTGGCCGCGCCCAGGGCGTACAGCTTCCCCGTGGCCTCGCGGCAGAGCCGGCGGGCGGCGCGGCCCGGGCCCGTGTCCCCGTGGAGCCGGCGGTGCGCCGTGCACAGGCCCAGCGCGGCCCGGAGGAGGCCGTGCAGCCCCTGCCGCCCGGGCGCTGGCTGGTCCCCGCGCTGGGTGAGGAGGCCGATCTCAAAGGCCTCCCTGGCGTCTCGCAGACACGCCGACCGCGCCCCGGGGGGACAGGCGCCCGCACTGGCGTAGGACAGCAGGCACGCGCCCCGGATGTTCTGGGAAGACCAAGCACAGAGGTCGACGCGGCGGTGGAAGGAGCGGGAGACCCCTCGCTCCTGGAGGACAGCGGTGACACGTGTGGGAAGATGACAGTGGGCGGGCCACCGCCGTCCTGGGGGAACCCACAAGGACCACCGAGGAGCCCGAGGTCTTGTCGGCTGGGTGAGCGTCGGCCCGTGAGCCAGGAGGTCAGGTTTGATTCCCGGTCAGGGCCCAGGCCCAGGTGTGGGCTCCATCTCCGGGGGGGGGGGGGGGGGGGGGGCGGTGGGGGGGGGAAGGGGAGGAAGGGGTAAGGGTGCAGGAGGCAGCCAGTCAATGACTCTCATAATTGATGTTTCTCTCTCTTTCTCCTTCTTCTCTGAAATCCATAACATTATATCCTATTTAATAAAGAGGGAATATGCAAATTGACCATCATGCCACAATGAGATGGCTGCACCTGCAGTAAAGGCGGGGATCCATAACACAAGATGGCTGCACTCACAGCAGAGGCTGAGTTCCCTTGACGAGCCTTAACGAGCACTCAGCAGGGACCTGAGGCTGTGTGACACTGGGCTGGGCCAGGGGACCTGAGGCTGAACCCCAAGCCTTAGTGCCAAGCCACGGGACCTGAGGCCACGCCCCCGCCCAGGGCCCTGGCTGGGGAACCTGAGGCTGCACCCACTGCCTGATGAGGCTTATGGGGACCTCAAGGTACATTGCTAGCCTGGGCAGGGGGACCTCAGGCCGTGCTCCCCGCCCCGGCATCGGGCCAGGCTACCTGAGGCTTGATGGGGATGGGCCCGGCCAGGTCTGGATCAAGCCCAATGAAATGGGGCTGGCGAGGGCTGGGTCTCTCACTATTTCGAGGTGCATGTGGGTGGGCGGGGACCTGACTCTGGGTCCTGCAGGGTGCCCCACACTGACGGATGAAGATTTTCATATACATTTTACTAATTTTCTTTAGTTTCTGACACTTCTATTATAGAGAAAGGGCAAATAGCTATATTAAAATATTTCCTCTAATTAATTCCCTTTTAATGTGCGTGAATTTCGTGCACCAGGTCACTCACTAGTCCTATCTAATAATAGAGTAATATGCAAATTAACCATCACTCCACGACAAAATGGCAGCCCCCATTGCCACAAGATGGCAGCGCCCAGTCCCCTCAGCTCCACTGCTGGAGTGCCCAGCCTGTCTGCAGGAGCAGCAAGACCGGATCCGCCTCCAGGAGGGTTTTTGATCTGCCCCAGTCACGGCAGTCAGAGCCTGGACAGCAGGGCATGGAGGTTTCCTTAGTGCGGAGGCAGCAGGGAAGCCCCAGGCCTGGCAGACAGAGCACCCTGCAGGGCACTGGGGCTTCCTTCGCATGGCACATGGCAGCAGGCAGAGAGCAGACAGGAGGGCTGGGCTTCACCTCCATGGCTGCAAAAAGCCCCAGGCCCGCAGAGAGCAGAGAACCACGGGGAGTGGGCCTGAGCCATCAGTAGGACATTCCCTGAGAGCTCCTGGATTGTAGAGGGTGCAGGCGGGGCTGAGGGACTGTGTGCATGAATTTCGTGCACCGAGCCTCTAGTTTATGTATAAAAGAAGAACCTGAGGTCTTTCTGGTGCTGGGGAGCGGGGAAGGAGGTCTGAGTGGCTACTAAGAGCTGCCTATGAACCACTCCTTCCAGACTCTTTGATTAAAGGTGTTACTTACATTTGTTGCTGCTGTTGGTTTAGCAGAGTCTATACCTGGGACATGGACATGAAAGCTTCTCTATGCAAATAAAGCTGCTGTGTTTAAACATGCTTTATCCAATAATAATAACGTGATAGGCTAGTACTTTCACACCCCCCTGTGCATTTCAGTCACCTGAGTAGTGTTTCAAGAGTAAGGGTTCTGGGAATCCCAGAAATTTGCATATACAGGGTTGAGGGAGCCTGGGAAGGTGTGTTTTAAAAAGGCTCCTATGGCCTGGATGGCACACTTAGTGGTTAGAGCGTCTGCCCTCACACTGAAGGGTCTTGGGGCAAATTTGATCCCCAGCCCCATTCTGGGCACATGCAGTAGGCAACCAATCCATGTGTCTCTCTCACATCGATGTTTCCCTCACTCTCTCCCCTCCACTCTCTAAAAATCAATGGGAAGAATGTCCTCAGGTAAGGATTAACAATCAATCAATCAATCAAACAACTGGCTGGGAGGGCCATTCCGGGTGCCGGGAGCCCCCACCAGGATGGCACCACCCGCCCCAGACATCTCCCACACACCATCTGACCGCGTTACCCGGCCAGGCCCACCCCTCCTCACCATGGCTGAGAGCACGAAGAGGGGCGTGTAGGGGCTGAAGGCGGCAGCCAGCTTGCAGGCTTCAGCGGCCAACAGCAGGCGGTGGGCACAGTCCCTTGTCAGGTCCTGGAAGAGAGCGGGGGCCACGGGCCGTGCCCACAGTTGTTTATCCATCAGCCAAAGACAGACCGAGACCCCCGTGGGTCACCCCCCACCCCGCTTCTCTTCCAGATTCCCAGGGCCGCCCCAGCTGCCAGCAAACTGTTCCAGAGCTGTGCCCAGCCTTCCGTCCAGCCGTGGGGAGGGCTCAGGGCACAGACCCCTGGGGGGACTAGGCCCACGTCGCAGCCACGTTACTGGCTGGCTTCCGAGGCATTCTCCGTGGAGAGTTTATGGCCTCATGGCAATCAGGGTCCCCATTTGTTCTGGAGACACGTGCTGCTTGCCTCTGTGCGTCAGGCACAGGGACACGCAGGGAGCCTGCCACGGACTGCCTTCCTGCTGAGCGGGGGTCAGACACCAGGGAAGGTGAATGCCTGTAGCGGGGACGGGAGGATGAGGAGCCCTGCGCGGTTTGTCTGACAGCTGTCCTCAGCGCTTGGCACAGCGCCGAGCCCGTGACTGCCGTCACTCAGGACTTAGCGGAGCCGTGACACCAGGCTCCTGTAGCGATCTCACTTTCCGCCCACGGCGGGGCTCAGTGGCTGAGCGTCGGCCTACGAACCAGGAGGTCAGATTTCGATTCCCGGTCAGAGCACAGGCCCAGGTTTCGGGTTCGATCCCCAGTGTGGGGCCAGCAGGAGGTGGGAGATCCATGATTCTCTCGTCATGGATATTTCTCTCTCTCTTCCTCTCTGAAGTCAATAAAAATATTTTTTAAAATTTCAACTTCCATGCAGGATGGAGCAGGTCACTGTCCCCACGGGGCCTGCTCAGCCCAGAGCCCCGGCCCTGCCTCCTGGTGGCCTCTCTGGACCTTGCCGCACGGGGACACTCGTTTTGCTCGTAGGCTTTCCTGGGGATCACATAGGTAGACACAGCCTTTCTGAGCTGCGACCACGTGCAACTATTAGGAGTCATTCTTGCTAAGGGCAGGGCTCCACATGTGAACAGATGATGAGTTTTAAACTTGTTGCTCTTTACTTGGTCGCTGAGACGGCCCGGTGTGGGCGCTGCATTGGGCGAGGTTGGAAAGTGAGGGCTAGAAGCGAGCTCCCAGCGGGCATCGCTGCAGTGAGGTCACGGCTGCCTCGCCCGTGTCTGTCCGAGCAGACAGGGTGCCAGCTGGGACACCAGAGCGCCAGGTCCCTGGGGTCCGGCCACGGGGAGGCACTGTGCTTCCCCCACCCCCTCTGCTCCCCGGCGGAGCGCAGGGCCGACCGTTATAGGGGCTGCCACTTGGCTCCGGGATTGGCCGGAGAGTCAAATGACAGTTACCAGGGCCACGTGGGGGTGGTTTTTAAACTTCTCGTAGTCTTGCTCGCTCATGGACGCACAGATGTCGGCCAGGATCCCCAGGGAGGCGGAGATGCCCTGAGAGGAAACAGATTCCCGTCACGCTGGCTCCCGCACGCCTGGCCTCCCGCCCTCCACGCCAACCACGGCCTATGTCAGTGTGACGACCAGGACCTGGAAATGCTTTTGATCGGATGCCAGAGCCTGGGACGCCGAGCTGCGACCCCTGAGGCAAGGAGCCCGTGGGAGCACACGGTTTGCTAGCTGGGCTCAGCTGGTGTGCAGCCGGCGTGTCCGTGGGAGGCTGCCCGGGCCTGACGGTCCAGGCCCCGCCTGCCGAGGCGGTGGGCTGGCGGCAGCTTGGGGCGTGTGCCCACAGCTGAGAGAACAAGGGCGTCACAGACATGAGGCCTCGGGCAGGGACGCAGCCCTGCTCTCTGTCCCCAGTGACGACTCGATGGAAACGGTGAGCCCGTCTCTGCCCCTGGACTCGGACGCTCCCACGCTCCCACGGGGCTGCCCTCCTGCTGAGCACGGGAGCCAAAGCGAAGAGGACGGGCTGGCTCGGCAGGGACAGCGGGGGAGAGTCACACGTGAGCACAGAAACCGGCTGAGCCAGGAGCTGTGCGTGGCCCACGCTGGCACCTGAGAGAGGGCCCGGGCCAGCAGACAGGAGACCCGGGCGCAGCCCACCTTCTTATCCGGCTGAGGGAGCGCCAGGAAGCCCACAATCGAGGTCCCAAGGAGCTCCGCGGCTTCATGCCACATCCCTGGAAAAGGGGGACCCCTAGAGTCTGCCCTCAGACAAGACACCCTGAGAACCTCCGAAAGGAGCGTCCTCAGCACGTCAGGTGGACAGGCGCCGGGAGGACAGGGTCGGTGGACAGGGGTCAGTGGACAGCACTGCCTGGTTGGCTTGCACCCATGGGTCCCTCCCCGGGGGCACAGGGTGACCAAAGCCCCCGAGGTGGGCCCAGAGGCGGGGAATCCTCTGCACACGCGGGACAGCCCTCCTGCCGTGCTGCTGCTCGCTTATAAAGTTCACCCGGTTCTGAGCGTTTGCAGGGTGGACGGTCAGGGCCAGGGGTTAGGAGTGAGATGTCGCCAGGTCATGGGGAGACCTGCTGGCCTGAGGGTCAGACCCCGGATGACACTGAGAACCCAGGCGATGCTCACAGCCACTGTCACCTTGGCCTCCGGGGGCTGTCCCCGCTCCACGGCCCGAGGGAAGGGGGCAGGTTAACCAGACAGCGCGAGACCTCTCCCTGCCAGGCGGGGTGGTCGGGTGGGGGAGCAGGGGGCGCACCCAGCTTCTGCAGGATCTGCCCTCGAATCTGCACGCACACGGACTGCACCAGGACCCTGTCGCTCTCGTGTCTGTACAGCCAGGAGCCTGCGACAGGGAGCCTCCATCAGCACGGCAGCCGGGAGCCACTGCCATGGAGGCCCGGACCCTCGGGCACCGTGTGCCCCAGGGAGCCCAGGGCAGCTCCTCCCTTGGCATTCCCTCATCTGTCCCTTCACCACCCTCCGCCCCTGCACCCCTCCCCCTGCACCCCTCCCCCTTTGCCCCTCCCCCTCCGCCCCTGCACCCCTCCCCCTCCTTCCTTTCACCCCTCTCCCTCCGCCCCTGCACCCCTCCCCCTCCTTTCTTTCACCCCTCCCCCTCCACCCCTGCATCCCTCCCCCTCCTTTCTTTCACCCCTCCCCCTCCACCCCTGCACCCCTCCCCCTCCTTCCTTTCACCCCTCCCCCTCTGCCCCTGCACCCCTCCCCCTCTTTCCTTTCACCCCTCCCCCTCCGCCCCTGCACCCCTCCCCCTCCTTCCTTTCACCCCCGCCCCTCCTCCCCTGCACCCCTCCCCCTGCACCCCTCCCCCTCCTTTCTTTCACCCCTCCCCCTCTGCCCCTGCACCCCTCCCCCTCCTTCCTTTCACCCCTCCCCCTCTGCCCCTGCACCCCTCCCCCTGCACCCCTCCCCCTCCGCCCCTGCACCCCTCCCTGTCCTTCCTTTCACCCCTGCCCCTGCTCCCCTGCACCCCTCCCCCTGCACCCCTCCCCCTCTTCCCCTCCCCCTCCGCCCCTGCACCCCTCCCCCTCCTTCCTTTCACCCCTCCCCCTCCGCCCCTGCACCCCTCCCCCTCCTTCCTTTCACCCCTCCCCCTCCGCCCCTGCACCCCTCCCCCTCCTTCCTTTCACCCCTGCCCCTCCTCCCCTGTACCCCTCCCCCTGCACCCCTCCCCCTCCGCCCCTGCACCCCTCCCCCTCCTTCCTTTCACCCCTCCCCCTCCGCCCCTGCACCCCTCCCCCTGCACCCCTCCCCCTCTGCCCCTCCCCCTCCGCCCCTGCACCCCTCCCCCTCCGCCCCTGCACCCCTCCCCCTCCGCCCCTGCACCCCTGCCCCTCCACCCCCGCACCCCTCCCCCTCCTTTTTTCACCCCTCCCCCTCCGCCCCTGCACCCCTCCCCTTCCTCCTCCTCCCTTGGGCAGGACAGGGCGAGAGGCTGGGGCTCTCCCTGTGGAGCCTGGGCTGGGGAGAGGCCCCCTGAGGCCACGGACGAGCAGCGTGGGAGGGAGGCAGGCGTGGACACCCTCCTCCCCAGCCCGTCATGTCACGTCTGTGTTCACCCAGCTTTTGATCCCGGTGTGTGTGATCATGTGTGCATACATGTGCATGCACAGGCATATGTGTGTGGACATGCACATGAACCTGGGTGCACACGTACAGACCTCTGTATGCATGTGGGTATGTGTGGATAGTTGCCTCTGTGTGTGCAGGCATGTGTGTGGGCACACGTGCATGTGGATATCGGTGTGCAGGCATGTATAAGTTTGGACATGTGTGCAGGTGCATACATGTCTGTGTGCCGGCACATGCGCATGTGTACTCATGTGTCTCTCTGAGGGCACACGCACATGTGTACATGTGTCTGTGCAGACTTGCGTGTGGGCATGCATGCGTGTGTATACATGTCTCTGTGCGTGCAGTGAGTAGATGGGAAAAGTGCATGCTGAGGGCTGTGGGTCAGTGTTTGTGCTTTAAACTGCCTCCTGGGGACTGCTTTCATGGGGGAGTCAGTGTCTGCCCTGCCGGGCCCGTTGGTTGGAGTGCCTTCCCGTACCCCAGGAGGCTGTGTCCTGGTCAGGGGACGTGCCCAGGTTGTGGGTTCGATTCCCAGTCTGAGAGCGTACAGCAGGCAACCTGATCCATGTTTCTCTCTCACGCCGATGTATTTTCTCTCCTTTCCTCTCTTTCTAAAATCAATTGAAAAAACGGATCCTCGGGTAAGGATTAAAAATACACATTAAAAAACACCGGTCCTGAAGCTGTTCGGCTGGAGCCGAGGCCTGAGGGGGAGGCGGGCATGTGGGCGCTCTCACCTGCAGCTCCCTCGTTGCGGATCAAACTGCTCAGGATGTACTCGGCTTTTAAAAGTTTCCCTGAAAAGAAGCACACGCTTTACACACAGACAATTCTCTCACAATCCAGGATTGCTAGCTCCCAACTGCTTGCCTGCCTGCCTGATTGCCCCTAACCACTTCTGCCTACCTGCCTGATCACCCCTAACCACTCCCATGCCAGCCTGATTGATGCCTAACTGCTCCCCTGCCTGCCCAATTGCCCCCAACTGGCCTCCCCTGCTTGCCTGGTCACCCCCAACTGCCCTCCCCTGCAGGTCTGATTGCCACCAACTGCCCTCCCCTGCAGGCCTGTTTCTTCCCAACTGTCCTCCCTGCAGGCCATCTTTGGTGGCCAACTTGTGTCCACATGGAGGCAGACATCTTGTGTGTTGGAGTGATGGTCAATTTGCATATTACCTCTTTATTATATAAGGTATTAGAGGCCTGGTGCATGAATTCGTGCATGGGTGGGGTCTGGCCGGGGGAGGGAACATCAGCGGTTGGCCGGCCTGCCTACTAGTAGAACTCCTGATCAAGGGGACAATTTGCATATTAGCCTTTATTATATAGGATATACACGGAGTGGCCAGATCATAATAATCTGGCCACTCAGTGTATATTTCTCACCCTTTCCTGATTTTCTCTGCACTCTGGCCCTGCAAGCCAGTCTTTGTGCCAGGGGAGGGAGGGGGGACAGGCGAGAGGGCGTGGCAGGGCTGGCCACATCCTCAGGGTCAAGTTGGCCAGGACGGGCGGGCAGGCGCGCCTACCTGCATTGAGTGCCACGCGGGCCTGACGGATGACCAGCTGCGGGGCCATGGGTGTGGCGGGCCACAGCCGGTGCAGCGCCTTGGCCACCCGTAGGAGCTGGTGGGACATGTCGAGCCCATAGAGGAGCCGGTCACTCAGGAACAGGATGGCTGCTGCCGTGGCACCGTCCCCGTCGAGGATGGCGACCTTCAGGGACACCTGGAGGTCATACAGGGACCGTGAGCCTGAGAGACTTGGCACCTGCCTGTAGAGAAGGGGGTGGGAGGAAGCCTGGTCTTCAGGTGTTTTTATCAAACAAGGAGCACTGTGCCTGGCCAGTGTGGCTCAGTGGATAGAGTGTCGGCCCGGGACTGAAGGATCCTGGGTTCAATTCCAGTCAAGGGCATGTACCTGGGTTGCAGGCTCAATCCCTTGCTCCAGTGGTTGGGCGTGTGAGGGAGGCAACCAATGGATGTGTCCCTCTCACATCGGTATTTCTCTCTGTCTCTCACCCTCCTTTCCACTTTCTCTGAAAATCAATGGGAAAATATCCTAGGGTGAGGATTAATAAACAAAAGAGGAAGGGAGGGAGGGAGGAAGGGAGGGAGGGAGGGAGGGAGGGAGGGAGGGAGGGAGGGAGGGAGGGAGGGAGGGAGGGAGGGAGGAGGGAAGGTGGGAAGAAGAAAGACTGTATTAGGCAACTGAGCCAAGAGAAAAAACTTAAGGAAAAGTCCATTTCAGCTGCGGGAATGACAATACTTCTCTCTATTTCCCCACTCCATTCCTGAAATGACACGACAGGTGAGCATGGAACACACCCCTTTTCCCACCCTCCTCTCCATCATGTCGCTCCTTCCTGCCCCGCCCCTGGTCCCACGTCGGGGGAGACCTGGTGGTTCTCTCTCAGATTCCTCTCATGCACCGTCTCTCCGGAGAGCCGCCACTCCTTCCTGTGACGAGTCAGGATGCCCACAGGACTCCGGACCCCGAGCAGACCCCGAGCCACACTAGGTACAAAGTTCCTCTTCCAACAGCCTGCACCAGGACTGGAGGTAAAGCTTAGTCTCTTGTTTGCCTAAGCCTTTTGCTGAAGAACCTTTTTCTGCCTCTGGAACCCAGGAGGGGAAGGAGATGTCATTTGTCTGATCCTCCAAGGACCCCTTCGTTACCACTGCTGGAGAGCCATGGCTCCCTTTAAAGCAGCCACGACGTTGTACTTGACCTGACCCCCCATCTGTCCAGGGGCCCATCAGTGATGAGCTCTCCATCATTGATGTTTCTAAGCCTGCACACCTTGACCCCACCTCCCTGACCTTGACCCTATCTCTGCCCCTCACAGGCAGCTCACGTCTAAGCTATGAGGACCCACCTAATGCCGGGCTCACAGCTCTCTGGCCTGACTTGAAAACAATAAATCTATTCGTCTGAGCCAAGAAACAGAAAGTTTGCCAGTGACAGGACAGAGAGGACCGGGAAGGAGGGTGTAGCTGAAACAGATTTATGGGCAACAGCAGACCGAAGATCCAGGAATGAGGACGGCATGCAAACCGGCCTTCTCATCCCCCTCCAGCGGCATGCATACTTTCATATAAAACACAGCCAGGCTCTGCGTTTGCCTGAGCCTCTTCCTTCCAACTGAACCACCGAGCACGGGGATGTTCAGAACTCAGATTGGGTGGATCAGGAGAACGTGTGTCTGAAGAGCTGGTTCACATGTAAACTGTCGGTTCAAGGTGGCAAACAGTTCTGGCTTGTTGGTTGGAGCATAACCCAAAAGGCTGAGGGTCGATTCCCAGTCAGGGCACATGCCTAGGTTGCGGGTTCAATCCTCGTGCAGGAAGCAGCCAATGGATGTTTCTCTCTCACATCCATGTTACTCTCTCCCTGTCCCTTCCTCTCTCTCTAAATCAACAAGCAGATCCTTGGGTGAGGATTTGTTAAAAAGATGAAGAAGAAATGGGTGGTTCTGTGTCTGCCCAGCTCTCTCTGGGGGACCTTCCTCCTCGGGGAACACAGGAACACTTTCTGCAGAACTTGGGCCCTCTACCATCATTATCTTCTTTTCATTTTATTGTCACTAAAAAATCCAAGTGAAATAAGGAAACAGGTTGAGAGGTTCCATGACTTTCCAAGTTACAAAGTCAAAAGGGTCAGAGTCAGGAGGAAACTCAAATTCATATTTCTTCCTTATATTATTAATTATTGTTATTGTCATTATTGTGGTCAGAACATAATATTTACCCTCCTGACCATTTTAAGTGTCCAGATCAGAGGTGTCTTGTGCAGTTACATGGCTGTGGATCAGATCCAGAACTTTTCATCCAGCAAATACAAAACTCGAAATTTGCCCTGGCCAGTGTGGCTCAGCGGATAGAGCATTGGCCTGCGGACTGAAGGGTCCCGGGTTCGATTCCATGCTGGCTCCATCCCCAGGGTATGCATACAGGAGGCAGCTGATCAGTGACTCATCACTGATGTTTCCATCTCTCTCTACCTCTCCCTTCCTCTCTGAAATCAATAAAAATACATTTAAAACAAACAAACAAACCAAAAACCCCTCTAACCTTTAGTTACTGACCCCTGTCCCACTCTCTCCAGCTCCAGAAACCACCATTCTCCTTACGTTTCTACGGATTTGCCTCCTCCAGTCCTCGGAAAAGCGAGAGGACAGTGCTATGGTGGAGGCCTGGCTGCTCCAGGCTCAGAGAACGGGGACGCTCAGCACGGAGCTGGCTCCTCCTGGGGCCGAGCACAGGACAGGGAACCGGGGGAAATGGGAGAAAGGCAATTCGTGCATCCCCACTGCTGTGTGTAAGGAAACGGCCGTGTCAGGGGGTTCAATGGGGTGAAAAGGGAATAAAGTCATGAGCCCAAACCCAGGAGGCTCATCACAGAACTGGGGGCACCTGCTGTTTCAGCACCTTGTTCCGTCCGACACTCCGAGCAGCCGTCACTGGCTGCGGAGAAGGGCGGTGGCCCCTGCCCTGGCCCGCCCACGGGGCCCACCCGCCCACACCTGGGCACAGGCTGCAAACACCAGGGCTCCTCCTGAACCTGCCATAGCTCCTCTCTCCCCCGCCCCCACTCTCCATAGACCCAGCACAAAAGCCCGAGAGAGGGTGACCCGCGGACAAAGGCCCTTTGAGCTCCTTGGAAAGGAGCCGGCATGGAGGGGCCCAGGGGCCTTCTTCCCACTTGCACTAATTAGACATTTTTCTGTCCGCCATTGAGCACGCTGAGAGGCCAAAGCGCCAGATTCATTTCTAAAGTGTTTACAGAAGTTTGCATCTGTTTGTGTCTCTTCAGGAGGAAAATAAGCACTTCAATAGCTTTGTGGGAACCAAAGGGAGCCCTTGAGGGCTGGCCTGCAGCTGCATAACTTAGCTCCCTCCTGCTCTGGCCTGTGAGGAGGAGGAGGGGGAGGAGAAGGAGGAAGGGGGGGAGGAGGAGGAGAAGGAGAAAGGGGGAGGAGAGAGAAGGAAGGGGGAGGGAGGAGGAGGAGGAGAAAGGGGGAGGAGAGAGGAGGAAGAGGGAGGAAGGAGGAGGAGGAGGTAGAGGGAGAAGGAGGGAGGAGGAGGAAGAAAGGAGGAAGAGGAGGAGAGAAGGAGGAGGAAGGGGGAGGAGGAGGAGGAGGAGAAAGGGGGAGGAGAGAGAAGGAAGGGGGAGGAGGGAGGAGGAGGAGAAAGGGGGAGGAGAGAGAAGGAAGGGGGAGGAGGGAGGAGGAGGAGAAAGGGGGAGGAGAGAGGAGGAAGGGGGAGGAGGGAGGAGGAGGAGAAAGGGGGAGGAGAGAGGAGGAAGGGGGAGGAGGGAGGAGGAGGAGAAAGGAGGAGGAGAGAGGAGGAAGGGGGAGGAGGGAGGAGGAGGAGAAAGGGGGAGGAGGAGGAGGAAGAGGGGGAGGAGGAAGAGGAGAAAGGGGGAGGAGAGAGGAGGAAGGGGAGGAGGAGGAGGAGGAAGGGGAGAAGGGAAGAGGAAGAGGAGGAGGAGGAGGAGAAGGAGGAAAAGGGAGGAGGAGGAGGAAGTGGGGAGAGAGGAAGGGAAGAGGAGGGGGAGGAGGAGGAGGAGAAAAGAGAAGGAGGAGGAAGGGGAGGAGGGAGGAGGAAGAGGAGGAGGAGGAGGAGGAGGAGAAGGAGGAAAAGGGAGGAAGAGGAGGAAGTGGGGAGAGAGGAAGGGAAGAGGAGGGGGAGAAGGTTGCAGATTCCCAGTGTGGGGTGTGCAGGAGGCAGCCAATCCATGATTCTCTCATCATTGATGTTTTTCTCTCTCTCCCTTTCCCTTCCTCCCTGAAATCAATACAGATATCCAGTATATAACACTTTGAATCAGCTACACCTACTCTTTCACCCGCCCTCTCCCAAGTCTGCTGTACATGGCACCGCCTGTTTAAGGGAAGAGAAAGCAATCCCAAAATAGATGCCCCTCACCCTGACCTCTGCCCTGGGGTTGCCACTGAGCCCACCCTAAGGCGCCGGCAATCCCCACCCAGTGACACTGACTGTCCTCATCTGACTCAAACTCCCAAGCACCTGGGGTGACAGTCACCCCGCCTTTCCCAGTCACGTGACCTGCGGCTGTCCTGGTAATTCTGAAAACATAGCAGTCAATTAAAACCATCTTTTTTTATTGATTCACCTCGAAACCAATGAAACTGTTTTGTCACTTTAGAGTTTTCTAATTTCAGAGTCACATGTATACAAACAGTAGAGATAAAGGTTTAATCAATAAGGGTTAGCCTTGCTTTAATAGAACCTCATTAAAAACCCCGACAACCAAACTACGGAGGGTGGGCATAAGAAATGGTTTTGTTGCCAACACAGTGCTCACCCTTCGCTGTCATGTTTAATCCTTACCAAAGGATATTTCCCCACTGATTTATAGAGATAGTGGAAGAGAGAGAAAGAGAGAGATATATCAAAGTGAGAGAAACACATTGATTGGTTGCCTCCTGCACCTGCCCCAACCAGAGCCTGAGCCAGGGAGGAGCCTGCAACCAAGGTACATGCCCTTGACCAGAATTGAACATGGGACCCTTTAGTCTGTAGGCCAGTGCTCTATCCAGTGAGCCATACTGGCCAGAGCCATGTTATTTTTTTATTTATTTCTCCTCATCAAAGGATATGTTTATGGATTTGAGAGAGAGAGAAAGACATCACCAGGGATTGAACCCACAACCTCTGTGTCCTGACCGGGAATCGGATCCACAGCTGTTTTGGTGTAGGGATGACACTCCAGCCCTGACCCACCAGCTAGGCTCGTTGTCATGCTATTAAAGAACGCGCTTTGCCCTGACTGGTTTGGCTCAGTGGATAGAGCGTCGGCTGCAGACTTAAGGGTCCCAAGTTTAATTCCGGTCAAGGCACATCCCCTATAGAGGGTGTGCAGGAGGTGGCTGATCGATGTTTCTCTCCCATCAATGTTTCTAGCTCTCTATCCCTCTCCCTTCTTCTCCTCTCTATAAAAAATCAATAAAATATATTAAAAAAAGAGAAAAGAATGAACTTTAATAACAAGCTCGCCCCTCCGCTGCAGCCTGGCCATGGCTCCGAGATTGGGCGTCTCTCACTCAGTCCAGGCCGAGGCGGAGGGAGGGAGCGTCTTCACGGCCAGACTCACCAGGCTCCTGGAGCTGCGGGACAGGACTCTGTCTGTCACCACTGATCCCACTTCACCGGCTGAGTCAGTCACGTGGCCACGCCTGGACGGCCTGAGGAATGTTGGAGCACCTGCCACAGGTCAGGTGGCCAACCCATGGTGGCCTCCAACAAGCAGCTCTTCAACCAGCGCAGCCCATCTCTCCGTGCTGGGAGCGGTCTCCAGGCTGTGGGCAGGGTTCCTGGTTCTTTGAGTTGATGTCAGAGCTTGAACTCAATGCCTGACACTGCCGACAACAAAGCTTTGCTGAATGAGGGAAGGCATGTGGCTTGCATTCACTTTGCTTTCTGGGCCCTGGTGGGAAAGATCTAAGCTGATAAAAGCTGCCTGGCTGGTGTGGCTCAGTGGTTGAGCGTCGACTTATGAGCCAGGATGTCATGGTTCAACTCTGGTCAGGACACAAGCACGGGTTGTGTTCTCCATCCTCAGAGTGAGGCGTGCAGGAGGCAGCCGATCCATGATTCTCTCTCATCATTGGTGTTTCTCTCTCTTCCTTCTTGTCTGAAATCAATATATATATATATATATATATATATATATATATATATATATATGCTTTCAGAAAAGCTCGAGAGATCAACCAAAGGACTTGTGTGAATACACATGAGCCTAACCAGTGGTCAAGGACAATAGGGGGGTGAGAGCATGAGTGGGGAGGGGTGGGGGTTGGAATAGGGGGTTGAGGACAAATATGTGATACCTTAATCAATAAAGAAATTTTTTTTAAAAAGCTTTATTTTCATACTCTCGTCTCACTGTGTAGAAATGGTTCTTTCCAGAAAAGTGAACGTCACTAGAAGCAAAGGTGGAGTCCAGAGGCCGCCCTGTCCCCTAAGCCTCCCGCCCAGGCAGGTCCGGGACGCTGCTGGCCACCGTCACGCCGTCACAGAAGCAAACGCCACCAACGCTTGAGAGAAACCCACCGCAGTGCCTGCCTCTCAGGCCGCTGCCCACCCCAGAACCCCATCGCTGCCCCGCACTCCATCTCCCCCCACACAGCGTAAACATGGTGTTGAGAAAAGGAGCTAAGGAGAGCTCCCTTTCCCTTGAAATTCCACGTTTAAGTCCTTTCTCTGACCAGCACTAATGACAGACGGGCCAGCGTGTCAGGCGAGTGGCAATCACCTCCAGCACAGACGCCCCACCCCCCACCACGCCCCACGCCCCAGCACAAAGGGCCTGGGACATGCATCATCATGAAGACAGAACACTTCAAAGGTGGGCGATTGGACTGTGGCCCCCCAGGACCAGGAGGGGGCGCCCCTGGGCGGTGGGACACCGGTGTGAGGCAGGATCGAGGTCCCTCGAGGTCCCCGCAGCCCACGAACTGGGACACGCCTGGCCTCCCCGGGCACTGCCGTGTCCGCAGATGTTTTAGCAACGAGTAGTGGCAGCATCTCTGGAGGGACCCGCCCCGGGGAGAGGGCACAGTTCCAGACACGCTGCCTGTTGTGCCAGCCACACACATGAGAAAATCCAGCTCTCCAGTGCGCCCCACCCCGCATGCTGGCCCTGACCCCTCGGGCAGCCAGGCCCCACCAGACCAGCTTCCTCCAGCTCCTGGGGCCCCAGGGAGACCCCGGGGGACCGAGAGGGCTGTGAGACTGCTTCCCTCAGTGGTCTGTCCCCGGGTGGACAGTCAGCTCCCTGCACCGTGTCCTCGCTGTCACAAGGGGAGGAGGGGGGAGCACTGGAGGCAGTTCTGAGAATTAACGAGAAGGCACTTGTGCACTTTGCAGACTGCACAGGGATGTGTGAATGCCGGGCACTCCTCCACACCTCTCCACACTGACGTGGCCAACGTGTTAATCCTCTCCCGCATCCTCACAGCCACCCGCTTCCCTTGGCTGCAGACCCGTCGGCTTAGGCCGGGGTCTGTGTGTCTGGCTTTGGCGGGTGGGAAGGTGGGGATTTGCTGCTTATATTAATGCTGTGGAGAGGCTGGGATGCAGCTCAGGGTCTTTCCTGGCTTTTTGTTTAGAAGGCAAAGACAATATGGAAGTTCTGGGAATATATCCTTATATAAAAAAAAAAAAAAAAAAAAACACCAGAAAGAATGAACCCCTGTGTCCACAGCAGCACAAGTTACAATAGCTGAGACCTGGAAACAGCCCACGGCCCACAGCAGGCGAGTGGATAAGAAGCTGTGGTACATCTACTCCAGGGAGTACTATGCAGCTGTGAAAAGCAGGATCTGTGACCCATCGGGACAGCATGGAGGGGCCTGGAGAGCACTGTGCTGAGTGAAATCAGCCAGTCAGAGAAAGACAAGTATCACATGACCTCACTCATCTGTGGAATCTAATGAATAGAATGAATTGACCAACAAAATAAGACCCAAAGCAGGGAGGCTCGGACCAGACTGCCATACCTTAATGTGGGGCTGAGGGACAAGAAGAGATAAACCACAGAACCTATATACTTACTAGAGGCCTGGTGCACTAAGTGCATGCATGTGGGGTCCCTGGGCCTGGCCAGCAATTAGGGCTGATCTTCGGGGTGATGGCGGGAGGGGAGTGCTGCTGGCACCCATCTTAGCTGGCTCAACTCCTTTGTTGAGCGTCTGCCCCCTGATGGTCAGTGCACATCATAGTGACCAGTCGTTCCACCGGTTGTTCCACTGTCCAGTCTATTTGCATACTAGGCTTTTACTATATAGGATAGACACAGCCGTGGACATGGGCCACAGCGTGGGGAAGACCTGGGGGCGGGGGTAGGGACTGGGAGGTGGGGGTTAAAGGGAGGAAAATGGGAGATATCTGTAATTCTATCAACAATAAAAAGTATACTTAAAAAAGACTATGTCTATACATTTATTTGCCTATGAAATAAATAAATAAAGTTTAGGGTATTGTTATTGCTTGTAACTCCTGCTCTCCAGACGTATTTTATTTGAGAAAAAAATGCATAGGCGCACACAAAGTCTTTCCCTTGACACTCAGCCAAGACAATGCAGGTGAGAAACTTCCTGGAAAGCAAGCCCTGGGGCTTTAGATCCGGAGCTGAATTCCGACCCCAGACCGCCCCTGACCCCGGTGGAGGCAGTGGTGTCTTTAGCTCCGGGTCTGTGAGCGTGGGACTAAGTGTGTCAGCGACCTTGGGTGATGCTCTCCTCAGCCTGATCCCGAGGAGACGGGCGCAGTCTGGGTGGAGCCTGCCAGGCCAGCAGCTCAGATGGCATGTCGCCCGGAAGACAGGTGGGGAGTGTGTCCACAGGGGAGGCAGACTCGAGCCCACAGTTGTGCGCACATGAAACGCAGAGTCTACTTTGCATTATTATTTATGTACCAGAGGCCCAGTGCACGGATCTCACACGTGGGTGCGGTCCCTATGCCTGGCCAGCGACTGTAGCACGAGCATCTGGCTTGGAAGGGCAGGTCCCTGCTGACCTCTGGGCTCTGGGTAGCAGCTGGACCCCAGGGCCCCTCAAGCCCCCCTCCATCTGAGTGGCCAGGCCCCCACCAGGGCTCCCTCAGTGCCTGGGAGCTTGCGGCAGCCCTTCCCCATCACCGCTGGTCACCATCTGTAGGGCGATCAGTGGGGCGATTGGGCCCCTCTCACACCCGCCTTGGCCTGGCACCACCCGCTCACCTGCTCTACCATCTCACCGCAGTCCCACTCTCATCGGAGCCCCTCTGACTCCTCTGCCACTTGCTGCCAGCACACCATGCTGATGCCCTCCTGTCCCATGCTGCCCTCTAGTGGTCAGCACACATCATAATGAGTGCTTGAACTCCGGGTCCAACTCCCAACTGAGGTGACAATTTGCATATTAGGCCTTTATTATATAGGATTATTTTCCATACAAATAACTGTAAACTTACTTTTGCTATCCTCCTGTATTTAAGCTCTCAACTTTTATTTATTTATGTATTTATAATATGTTTTTATTGATTTCAGAGAGAAAGGGAAGGCTGGAGATAGAGAAATATCAAGGATGAGAGATAATGATTGATCAGTTCCCTCCTGCACGCCCCACACTGGGGATTGAGCCTGCAACCCAGGCCTGTGCCCTGACTGGGAATCAAACCGTGACCTCCTGGTTCCTAGGTTGACGCTCAACCACTGAGCCTCACTGTCTGGGCATTTCAGCACCCCAACTTTCAGTAAGAAGCATTTCAAATGAGAAAGCAACGTGGCACGGTGCAATCCAAACCGCAGCTCTGGCCGGCGGCAGGTGAGCGTCTGCACAGCCTCACTGTGCCCTCCTCCCCTCGCTTGGCCTGGTGTGTGAGTACCTGGCCTCAAGATGCTTTTCTAAAAGCTGTTCCCTCCCGTTAGGCAGCTGCGGAGGGGCCACGGAAAGGGGCTGTCTTAGATCTGAGGCTCTCCATCCACCTCGGTGCTCAGGGCAGCGCGCCCGGGGGGGAGGGGGGGGGAGGCGCGGGAGCAGGTGGGTGTCCTACCAGCAGCTGCTGCAGCCCGGCGCCCACCAGGCCCTGCAGGTTGGCTCTGTCCTCGGGGCCCGCGGCGGGCTTGTACTGCCACTTCTCGGGCACAAAGGGCCACGCCATGCCCTTGGCCTCCTGCAGGAGGGTCCGCAGCTCGTCCGGGAGTGCAGCTGGAAAGGTCAGAGCTTAGGTGAGGAATGGCTCCCGGAGGAAGGCGGTGGCCCCTGGGTTGTGATGAAGCGCCTCAGTGGTGTCATCAGAGACACTGCCCCGGCCCCCTGGGCCAGGGGGCTGTGGTCGGGCCCCCAGAATAACAGTGAGGAGCGCCCTGCCCCTCGGGCAGACAGGGCAGGAGGCACGGAACGGCTCGGGGAAAGCGAAGCGCTCCTGTGTGCAGCTCTGCGTGAAGCAGGACAGGATGCAGACATCGTTTCCCTGAAACGTGAGAAAGGGACTGTCCGGGCGCGCCTGGGGCTGCACCGCAGACACCACCTGAGCCTTTGGTGCCCACCTCCCTCGTCCGCACTCTCACTGTGATGGGTTTTGGATGCAGAAAAGAACATGGAAAACCCAAGTGGAATGTGAAAGGGCATCAGTCTTCTGCGAAATGCCCTGGCCTCTCGGAGCCGATCTATTTAATCTCTTTTTAAATACATTTGCATTGTTATTGACTTCAGAGAGGAAGGGAGAGGGGGAGAGAGATAGAGACACCAATGATAAGAGAGAATCATTGAACTGCTGCCTCCTGCACACTCCACACTGGTGATCGAGCCCACAATATGGGCATGCACCCTTGACCAGATTCGAACCCAGGACCCTTCAGTCTGCAGGTCAACGCTCTAGCCACTGAGCCAAACCAGCTAGGGCTATTTAATCTCTTTGTGGCCACCACATCTAACTAGCACACCTGTCCACACTCTTCTGTCCAAACGCAGTGAGGTCAGAAAGCTCTGGGAATTTGAGGGCGCGCCTTAAAGTTTGATGCCCAAAGCAAATTGAAGTGATGAGAGGCTACTGGTGGTTGTGTTTATCCTACGGAGTGAGCACAGTCAAAAATTTTGCTGTAAAAACATTCCTGTTTGACTCTGGTCGCCGCCCAGTTCCTGCTGGCATGTGGGCATCCAGAGGCCACATGCCATGCAGTGCCTCCTAGACTTCTGGGACCCTCTGGATCCTGGAGCCCGTGTCGCCAGCTCTGCCTCTCAGGTGTGAGCTGTGCAGACACCGCGTCCGCAGCCCCCCTCTGACAGAGCTTGTCGCTTTCCCTCCAGCTGTGTCTCATTCTACCCTCTGCTGCCCACTCACCCAGTCCCCGGATTGGACACCAGGAGTCAGCCTGGACTTCCTGTTCTCTCTTCTCTCGAGTCTAAACGGGTATCAAGTTCTGTGGGTTCTGAAGCCATTTCCCTTTTCACTAGGAGTAATTCACTGTCTCCAGTCTTGTCTGTCCACCCCATCTTCTGCCTTGTTGATCCTAGTTTTCTGAAGCACAGGTGGCTGGGAGTGGGCCTGCACCGAGTTCTTTAATAGTTTTCACACCTGCTGGCCCTCTTTTGCTTGCTCTCTCCCAAGCCCTCTGAGGTCACCAACAGCATTCGAGGCAAACACCAATCTCAGGCTCACCAATAGCATTCAAGGCAAACATGCCACTTCCTGTCAGTCCCTCCTGAGCACCCACAGGTCTCCGGGCCATGCCCTCTCAGCATGCACTCCACAGAAATTAGCGAGAACATCGGAGACATGAAAAAGGACCCCAGTCAGAAATTAAGCATACACTAACTGAAATGAAGAAAAACATGGAATCAACAGTAGAGGATGCTGAAAGTCAAGTCTACAATTTGGAATATGATGAAGAAAAAACATTTAATGAGAAGAGCAAAAAGAAAAAAGAATTCAAAAATATGAAGATAGTGGAAGGAGCCTCTGTGACAATTTCAAGTGTACCAACATTCAAATCGTGGGGGTGCCAGAAGGGGAAGAGAGAGACCAAAATATTGCAAACCTATTTGAAGAAATAATGATAGAAAACTTCTCCTACCTGGTTAAAGAAATAGACATACAAGTCCAGGAAGCACAGAGAACCCAAACAAGAGGAACCTAAAGAGGCCCACACCAAGACACAGCATAACTCAAGCCAAGGGCTAAAGACAAAGAGAGAATCTTAAAAGCAGCAAGAGAAAAACAGTTACTTATAAGGGAGCACCCATACGATTGTCAACTAATTTCTCAACAGAAACTATGCAGGTCATAAGGGAGCAGCAAGAAATATTCAAAGTGATGAATAGCAAGGACCTACAATCAAGATTACTCTACACAGCAAAGCTCTCATTTATAATTTAAGGTCAGAAAAAGAGCTTAGCTAAAGGAGCTCATCACCACCAAACTAGGATTATATGAAATATTGAAGGATATTTTTGAGGAAGAAAGGGAAGAGGAATAAAAGAGAACCAGAGGTATGGAACATTGGAACAGATTAATCAAAGAACTTATATGTCCTATATTACCTATGGACACAGACAATAGAGTGGTGAAGGCCTGGGACGTGGCACGAACTAGGTGGAAGGGGGCAATGGTGGAAAATGGGGACAGCTGTAAAACTATGAACAAGAAACATTTTCAAAAAAGAGAGAAAGAAATGTATTGATGATCCATACAAGAGAGATTGGCCTGATGCAGTGACACGTTTATAGAAAGCAGAGACATCTAAGGAAATGGATGAGGCACAAAAGCCCCATTTGAGAGAAAGTGCATGCCACCATTGAGAAGTTGCCTCCTTTTGTTCATAACTGAAACGTGCGGGCACCAGCCCACTCGGAGCCTTTGTTCCTCTAGAACCTCACTGTGTCTTGTGGCCTCCTGTTTACTGAAGCCTAAAATGAGAACTGACAGTGATTCATTACAACAGAGGGGCCTTCCTCCTGCCCTCACGTTCCCCCTCCCCCATTCCTGCCCCAGATCCACGGTCCCTGGGTCATCTGCCTGCCTGAGGAGAGATGAGGGCTGGGGGTGGGGGCACGGTGTTGGCAAGGCTCACCTTCTTGCGGCTGGTCTTCATCCCTGCTCTGGTTCCGTGCAGGTGCGCCCGGAGCCTCTGCCAGCTGCTGCAGCAGGTGCAGGCACTCCTGCAGTTGTGTGGCCACCGTGCCCGGTCTGTCCATGCCCCTCCCTCATGCAGGTGCACGTCCCTGGTCCATGGACTCGGCCACCTAGGAGAAGACATCCATTCTCAGGGAATGAGGCCCTTCTTCGGTAATTCACTGAGCATCCATGACCTGTAAGACTCGAGGAGACCAGGAAGATGCAGACAGCCTGGGGTAATGCACCTGGCTCCCAAACTCCTTCGGTCCGCCCCTGGGTTCTGGGGACACCACCGCCTGCCCCTGTGGAGTCCCCAGGAAGTTTCTGGTGGACACGCCTGCTACTCAGACACAAGCCCATGGGAGCCCACTGCTGACTTCCCACGTGTGTCCGTGGCATGTGGAGTAAGATAGGCAATGGTAGCCCTGGCTGATGTCGCTCAGTGGATAGAGCCTTGCAAATGCAAGGGACCCAGGCTCGATTCCAGTCAAGGGCATGGACCTCAATTGTAGGCTCCTCCCTGGGGCGCATGCAGGAGGCAACCAATCAATGTGTTTCTCTCACATCGATGTTTCTGTCTGTCTTTCCATTCTCTTCCACTCTCTCTAAAAATCAATGGAAAAATATCCTCGGGTGAGGATTAAAAATAATAAAAATAATAATAATAATAATACATTAAGATAGTCAATGACAGATGCAAATACAAAGTTCTCCCCAGCTGGGCACACTCCCAAATAAGAGGGAGATGATAGCTCAGAAAACCCAGCTTCCTAGCTCTGTCGTACGATGAATAGGTCCGCCCACTACATGTGGCTGACATGCCTCTTCTGTCAACGTGACTACATTGTCATGAGCTACTGTGGTCATGGTCATTCAAGAGCAAATAATGTACTGACAGTACAAAAAGGCCTGACTAATAAATATCAGCCAGTTATCTGATTAACGAGCCTTTTTCTCTGTCTTCCTTTTGTTGAAGAATCTACACTAAAAAAAGAGAAACATGCAAAATGACCAAAACTCTGCTACACCCACAAGCCAATCAGGAGTGAGTATGCAAATTAACCCAACCAAGATGGCAGTGGCCACAGAGCTGGAGGGAGCAGAAGGCTTGGGTTGCCCTGGCATTGGAGAAAGCCAAGCTTCCCACCTACCCTGGCTGGCCCTGGCCTCCACTCAAGGCAACTAAGTTTCAATTATAAAAGATAAATAAATCCCAGATACTTGCTTCCAGTGGGCCCTGGCTTCTGTTCAAGGAGGCGCTGAGAAAAGAAAGAAAAAAAGCAGGGGCTGGGAGCTTGGGTTGCTGGGAGCTGATCAGGCCAGGATGGGATGGCAGTTATGTGGGCTGGTGGGAGGCGGGCCATGGGGGGTAAGCGGACCAGCAGAGGGGTCAGTTGGGGGCGAGCAGGCCAGCAGGCAGAGTGGTTAGGGGCAATCAGGCAGGCAGGTGAGTGGCTGGAGCCAGCAGTCCCAGATTGTGAGAGGGATGTCCAATTGCCAGTTTAGGCTTGATCCCTTGTAAACTGGCAGATATACAACTGTAAACTGGCAGTAGTACATCCTTCAAGGGATCCCAGCTTGAAGAGGGTGTAAGCTGGGCTGGAGAATACCACCCCCCTCCCCTGTGCATGAATTTCGTGCACCAGGTCACTAGTGTGTATTATAAACAATACAAGCAAACTTGCTCTCCTTCTGACTCTCCAGAAGAGAGTGAGCTGCAGTCCGGTGTAGACACCTCGCAGGTAGAATCTTATCACCAGACAATGGCGTCTGGAAGGAAGAAAGGAAACCCGAGGGCCGGCCGCCTCCATCTCATCATGCGTGGACACAGCGCCGCAGGTCACTGTGTGCTGCCAGGCAGACTGCGGTCTCACACTCAGTGGCCTCACTGCAAGCAGCTGGGTGCAGCCCTGCCTGCTGGCTCCGTGGTTGAGCATTGACCTATGAACCAGGAGGTCACAGTTCATTCCCAATCAGGCAGTGTACATGCCTGGGGTGTGGGCTCCATCCCCAGGAGGGGGCATGCAGGAGGCAGCCGATCTATGATTCTCTCTCATCAAGGATGGTTCTATCATTTCTCCCTCTCCCTTCCTCTCTGAAATAAAATATATAAAATATATATATATATATATATATATATATATATATATATATATATATTCCCCCCCCCCCAAAGAAGTTGATTTTTGCCCTAGCTGGTTTTGCTCATTGGAAAGAGTGTCTGCTATGGACTAAAAGGGTCCCAGGTTCAATTCCAGCCAAGGGCACATACTCAGATTGTGGGCTCGATATCTCTCCCCCCCCCCCCATAGGGGGCATGCAGCAGCAGGAGGCAATGATTCTCTGTCATCATTGATGTTTCTATCTCTCTATCTCTCTCCCTCTCTTAAATCAATAAAAACATATATATATATATATATATATATATATATATATATATATATATATATATATATATTTTTTTTTTTTTTTTTTTTTTTTTTTAAGAAGTTGGTTTTAGCCATAGCAGGTTTGGTTCAGTGGATAGAGCATTGACCTGCAGACTGTAGGGTCTCAGGTTGACTCCAGTCAAGGGCATCTACCTGGGTTGCAGACTTGATCCACTGGGGCCTGTATAGGAGACAACCAATTGATGATGTTTCTCTCTCTGCCTCTCCCCCTCTCCTCCACTCTTTCTAAAAATCAATGGGAGCCAGGACCGGTTTGGCTCAGTGGATAGAGCGTCGGCCTGGGGACTGAAAGGTCTCGGGTTCGATTCCGGTCAAGAGCATGTACCTTGGTTGCGGGCACATCCCTAGTAGGGGATGTGCAAGAGGCAGCTGATCGATGTTCCTCTCTCATCGATGTTTCTAACTCTCTATCCCTCTCTCTTCCTCTCTGTGAAAAATCAATAAAATATATTTAAAAAATAAAATAAAAATCAATGGGAAAAAAAATATCCTTAGATGAGGATTAACAATAAAAAATCTTGGTTTTAAATTTGAAATTGAAAGCAAGAATTTTTTTTAAAAAAATATCTTTCTTCTATTTTTTGAATAGAAAATGAAGGGTGAGCTGACTGTATAATCTAAATTTTGGCTTTTTCATTCTAACCTGGATGGGAGTTTGAGTTTTAAAACACATGCCCAACACACACACACACACACACACACACACACACACACACACACTCACACTGAGCCAAGGGTAGGGTGCCACGGGCTTGCTCACTGAAAGTGACGCTGCATGTGTGGAAGAACTGGCAGAGTTCTTGACGACCACACCCGGTTATCTGAAAGCGTGCTCACGCAGGGAGGCCCTGAGGAAGCCTTCGCGGTCAGGGTCAGTCCTCTCCTCTATGCAGGCACTGGGCTGTTGGACTAGATGGTTTTCCATGTTCCTTTAATCTCAAGCGTTTTGTGGGACGAGCTGGCCGTGTGCCTGCCTTTTTATCCAGAGCGAGCCAGTCAATGGAGCAGAGCGAGCCTGAGGTGATGGTGCTCCCCAGACCCGGGGCCGTGGCTACCCAGGGAGGTCAGTGTGGAGACTGAGGAATAAGCTGGAGGTGAGAGGTCAGGACTGAGCGGCGAGTGAGCTGCACCCTCACTTTTCTTCAAAATATTTTATTGGTTTTTTGCAGAGATGAATAAAAAAGAAAAGTATGCACAAACACCAACAGAATCCATGTCAGGAGGAAAGAGGGGGTAGGAAAGTGTTCTCAGATCTTTGAGTTGGTTAGGCGGAGGGGAAACATTAACTTTGAACTGTGATAAAAATTTAAGATAATCCCTAAGAAAATTGTAATAAGACATAACTTTAAAACTAGTAGACGAAAAAAAAAGAAAATTCCAAGAGAAAGCAATAAAAATTTAAGAAATACTCTCCTAGGTCACTGCAGGCCAAAGAAGTCATCATTATGGAAATTAGAAACTATTCTAATGGAATGGTAATTGCTGTCAGAACATGTTGAGCCCCGGCCAGTGTGTCTCAGTGGGTAGAGCTTAGGCCTGTGAACTAAAGGATCCCGGGTTCGATTCCAGTCAAGGGCATGTACCTTGGTTGCAGGCTCAATCCACGCCCTGGACAGGGAATGTGTGGGAGGCAACCGACCAATGTGTTACTTTCACATCGATGTTTCTCTCTGTGTGTCTCTCCCCCTCTCTTCCACTCTCTCTAAAATTCAATGGGAAAAAATATCTTTGGGTGAGGGTTAACAAAAAACAACATAAAACAAAAAAAACATGTTGAGTTCAGTCAAGTGGGATATGAATTAGGAAAAGTCAGATCAGAGGACTCACAGAGGGGAGAGGGAGGGAAGGGGTGAGCACAGAGACCTGCAGATGGCGTGTGTTCATTATTCCATCTGTGGGTATCCATCATGCTCCGTGCATTATGACACCTATTTCACAACTGTGTGATATCTGTCAGACTTATTTTATTGATTTTTTACAGAGAGGAAGAGAGAGGGATAGAGAGTTAGAAACATTAATGAGAGAGAATCGTTGATCAGCCGCCTCTTGTACCTGCAACCAAGGTACATGTCCTTGACTGGAATCGAACCTGGCACCTTTCAGTCTGCAGGCCAATGCTCTATCCACTGAGCCAAACCTGTTTCAGCTGTCAGACTTCATTAAGATAGTTTTTATTGGTTTCAGAGAGGGAAAGAGAAATAGAAACATAATGAAGAGAGAGAATCTCTGATCCACTGCCTCCTGCATGCCCTCCCTTGGGGATCGAGGCCGCAGCCCCGGCATGTGCCCTGACCTGCTTAGGAAGAATGAAATGGAACCTGGGCCCGGAGTGTGGCTGAGTTATAAGCATGAACTTCTGCCCCAGGGTGTGGCCCTGATTCCATGGGGGCCGAGCAGGGGCCTCGGGGTCAGGCGGAAGTCGCGGGGACAGACTGGGAGCAGGTCCTCTCCGTGGGAGAGCCCGGGATGTGCACGCGTGGAGGAGGCCGGGGAGCCACTGCTGGGGCCGTCGCTCTGCTGCCAGGGGCCGGGGCAGGAGGGCGGGCTGCGCTTTCTCAAGCGGGACTGGGGGAGAGGCTGCAGGGACACGCAGTTCTTGCCCGGCCTCGGGTGCCAGCAAGGGCACAGCG